CCCCCCCAATAGCTAGCAATCCAAAACAGTCCAGTGGCACCTTTAAGACCAAGTTTTATTCAGGTACAAGTTCTCCCTCCTCTGCGGGGGCAGATCTGCACGTCCGTTCCCCCCCCCCAATAGCTAGCAATCCAAAACAGTCCAGGGGAGCCTGAGCGGTGGGTGTTGCCTTCTGACACACTTCCGGTGATGTCAGGGGGGGTGGCATATGCAAATAAGTCATGCTAATGAGTTATGCTAATGAGCTCCTGCACCTCTTTTTCTACGAAATGACTCCTGTTGGTGCTCATCTCCATTTCCTAGCCGAAGAGCCAGCGCTATCCAAAGACATTTCTGTGGTCATGTGGCTGGCAGGACTAGAAGCTGAGGCGCATGGAATGCTGTTCCCTTCCCACCGAAGCGGTACCTATTTATCTACTTGCAATTTCTTGCTTTCGAACTGCTAGGTTGGCAGGAGCTGGGGCCAGAGACAGGAGCTCACTCCGTCATGTGGCACTTGGGTCTCGAACTGCTGAACTACTGACTTTCCGGTCTGCAGTTCAGCGTCTTAACCACCGCAGCCCTTTCTGCTAACTAAAGTCAGGACCTCTTGACTTCATTTTTGTTACAGCATTTTCAATACTTTTTCTTAGTCTATCCAAAATGAGTTCAAAGTTCCATAACCATATTAATCATACTATTATTTTTTACCCTTCCACAGTGCCCGCCCAGCAGAGGGTTTGAATGAATTTTAGGCCTCTCTATGTTCATACCCAGTTCATTTGCCTATCAGGAAGGTATTCCTCCACCCTAGAACCCACCCTCTGTCTGCAATGTAAGCTGTGTCAAGCAAAAAAGTGTTTAAAACCTCGATTTTATTTATCACAGATCAAACATCTAATACAAAATGCTCCCACAAAAGAGATACCGGAGGACTGCCTATGTCTCTGCCAACTGTCCAGTGCAGGGAACGAGAGTGGATGGAGACCCCTTGCAGCTAGAGGGCAGATAAGACCTCTCTGGAGAAGCAAACCTGGGTGCAGTCAGAAGAGGAGGCACCGAGAGAAACCCTTGAATGCAAACATGCATAGAGATGCGGGTGAAGAATGTACTTCATCGGGCCTTCCTTGGACTCAAAGTGTCAGAATTAATTTTTCCATAACTAGTGATATAGAACTAGAGTACCTCAGAACATGTACAGAGTGTTTCCTTCACACTCGGGATAACTGGGGTCCATCCCAAGACATGATACTGGCCCCCTGCTTTACAGGTAGGACTTCCAGGTAGATAAGAGATCAACAAAGACATTTTTAACTGATCGGGCTGGCTTCCTTGGAAGTGGGGTAGGAGGCCGCTCCGTCCCCCAGAAAACAGGGCAGCCAGGAGTATTCAAACACAACCGAGTGAGAGAGAGAGAGCCACCTCCCATGGAGTCCTTTGAACATACGAAGCTGCCAGCCTGGCGATCGTAATCTGACCCCCTACCCAACCTAGAACGTCTCCCTCCATATGCTCACTCAAGCCTCTATTTTTGACATTAGATCTCCTCAGCCAATCATCTAAATCTTCGATTTTATCCTCTGTGTCTGCAGAGCTACACTCATTCTCACTTGCCCTCACCTGCGGATAAGTGTGTCTGCATTCCCCTGTGAGCTCAGGGGTGACCTCCAAGGTATGCAAAGAAGCTTCCTTAGCATACGTCTCTCAGAAAAGCGGCAGGGGAAGACAGAAGAGGCTGCGCCAATCTGGAAAT